ATCTGTTCCAGACTGCATTTGTCTTTTGCCGAAGCTCAGACTCTGACACAGGATCGGGAACGTTGGAAGCCCTGTCTGACGCGTCTGCCTCCGCAACCCGAAAGGAGAAGCGGCGATGGAAGATGATGATGAAGATGATGAAGATAGATTACGAAGATAAGTTTCAGATTATTTGTTTGTACTGCGTTTGCCCAATGATATAACATTCGCCCTTACTGTTTGGCTTATTAGCGAACGACAGAAAAAAAATATGGCACTGACTGGATTGTCGCTGAAATTAGAATTTTAAGAGAAAAGAATATCGATCGAGGTACTCTTTCATAACAGCCGACTGGTTAAAACCAGAAAGCCCCCTAAGTTTTACTCGCATGACTTCTCTCTAGCGAAACTGAATATAAAGTTACGAGAATGTTAATTTATGATTAATATATATGATTTATGGCATATGGTAACTTTATGAGGACATGGCATGTCTGTTTTGATATTTTTCGTGTGAACTGTAATGCCTGTGTACAACTCGATCGGACGTGGAACGCAATGCTGAGATGAACTTGATTAAGCTGGTCAGTTTGCCCTTCATTGGGATAAGAGATCCATAATGCACAGTCCGAGAGGTGAGCAGTAGGGACCAAGTGAGAACACACCCTAACCGTGGAGAGGCGAATTAGTTCACAGCTTTCTTCAAACGTTTGTGCTATTCTTCCTTCCGAGAACAGAGGAAATGTTTAACTGCAAAAATATCATTTTCAATTAGTGTTCCCTTAATGAAGCATTATTTCCAAAGCAATACACACATTTTACCTGCTCTTATCTTATTGTATTTTAGAGTATTAGCCAGCAAAATTTTTCAATAACTAGTTATTGTTGAACTCCACTGATCAATGACATATTTTTAGGCATTAAACCGCTTCTTAATCGCTTACATATGTCTTATAGTAGCCTGAACATGTTATTTTTTACTCAATAGTTCATGGAATCGAGATGTAGTTTTCTCTGCTAGGAAACCAGGACATTTTCATTACGGATCATGTACCTCAGTTATAAAGCCAATCGAGGTTCAGTGTTACAGAATTCAGCTGACTAGACTCTAGTCGATTAAACTTCAAGAAGACAATTGGCCATTCGCACGCGAACGAATATTCCTGTTAGGGTACTTTCTCATGGTCAACGCCCACAAAGCGCAGAGGATGATACATCCGTTTGATGGCTGGCCAGTGGCACGAAAAGTAATAGCACCTCTGTGAATTTAATGTTTCCGGGAAAGAGACCGTGCAACTTGCGAATTCGTGTCTATGCAAGAACAGGGCACCTGTAGGGTCGAAGTCAGATGTTACCAACTAGAAGTATTTAGACTATAATGGAGAGCATGGAACTGTAAGAATGCGTGTAGAAAAAACATGATCGCTGAAGAGTCAGTGCCTAGTAAACTGATGTCTCCAAAACGAGAAATATTTGAAGAAGATATGTTCTAGGCCGAACATGAGGAAGTAAGGAAAAGAAAGACATATCGATGCAAGGGTCTGCTCAGGTGGTAGAACCACAGGTAGTGCATAGCGAATGTGACAGTTGGACATAACTCATAACGGCGATTGGCGTGTACGTCATGCATCGAGTACCGTGTCCGTTGCGCGGAAGCGGGATACGGTCATAAGTTTTCCGTGACTGGTTCGATGCTCTGTCTGTGGATTGGTCAGTTGGTCGGTGGGTCACAGTCTCATGCGAGAAATTTCGCGACACGGTGACAAAGACAACCGAACCGGTCCAGCTGTTGCGATGACGAAGTCGACGACAATCGTCAGAGAGGCATCAGCCAGTTTCTAGAACATTAGCAAGCCGGTGGCGGCGCAAACTGACCTACCATGTAAGAAGCAAGCATTGCCAGTCGGTACCACCCAGTCACAGTACGACCATACGTCCGTATACTGGGTCGGGTTGGAACGGGCGAAGAACGACGCAACGGGAGCAATAGGTGAACCGTGACGGTGGCGGTGGCGGTGGCGGTG